GACACAGGGAAGACTTAGCTTTTGGCTTTGGATATGATTCAAATATTACATCATGCACCTGGGGGTAATATTAGAACACAGCCCAGTCATGGTGCAGAAATCTACTAGGTCTAATTGTGACTAAATTAGAGTATTCCAGAATCCATGGAGCTCCTATTTCTACACTGGTCTGTAATGGATGATTCAAGCCTTGTCCTTGCAAATTTCTCTAGGAAAAAAGAAAAGTCAATACCGTTGAACCACTAAGAACTAAAAAGGGAAAAATATTCCCAGGATTGCCGCAACACCTAAATTGCATGCACCTGACTTTCCCAGACACCGTGATCACAAATCCACATTCTTCCTCAGCTTCTTGGACCAGTGGAGCTAAACCAACGGCTGCCCCAAGCTCAAGACATCCAAAATTTAAGCCTACATAGGAATTTCCAACTTACATTTTAACCCGATTCTATATTCCTGTTTATTGTACATACTTGAATATAAGGTGAGGGTTTTTATTTTCTCAATTTTTTTCCCTTAGAGGAAAAAAAGGTCACATTTAAGTCTTTTAAAAATCTCTCATTTTATAATGCACTTTCTCAATTACCTTATTCTTAAAATAAAGTATTGTTTGGGGAAGACATGTTAATTTGAAATGAGCTCAGTCAATGTTTTGGATACTTAGTGAGAAAGAGGCCAAGACATTGAACACAATCCTCATAATTGTGAGTGCTGAAAGTTGTCACAAATAAGACTTTCAAGATGCTTACGCTGTGAAGATCACAATGTGCACTTCAGGATAATGTTTAAATGTTTTGAAAATGGCGTACTGTCCAGTTACAGCATCAAAACAGATTCAAACACATCTGTATCTCAAGCCACCCACTCGGAAGTGAAGAAGAAACTGCATTAAAGTGGCTTTAGGAATGCTAAAGATGAATGGAAAAAATATATAACTTCATGAAATGTGAATGAAGAAATCAATATTTCTAAGTTATTATTTTATAAATTGTGTGACTTGAAATATGTTTGTTTAGCTAGTTTACTAAATTAAATATAAAGAGACATGTGACCACTGCATCTATATTGTTACATATTTTCATAAATCAAGTTCGCCAAACGCAGTTTTTGGCGGTGGCGGGGAGATTTTCCCACTGAGCAGTAAGAGACCATCTTATCTGGGATCACTGTCTACGATTTGCTGAATCTGCTTGTGATGAGTTCTGGTGCTTGACAAAAGGCAAGGAGAAGAAAGGATTTGCATTCCAATCTACTTTGGGTTCCTTGCCAGGTATTCCATTTATTTCCCATGGGGTAAAACTTGGCGGTTCCTTTCAGCCTGAGCAGAAGGGTCCCTCATCATCTCTCTTGGGCTGATGAAAGGAGAGTAAAGAGGAGCCACTTCAAAATCGTCCCCACTTAAAACTCAGAAGGCAACATACTGACATTCAGTATTGGCGGGGCATTTAGTTATATCCCAATAATACTGAACACATAGTGAGTGCTTACCAGGCCCTGTGCAAAGTGCTTTACACGCAATGAGCACAACAATTTATTATCCTCATCTTAGAGATGAGGAAACTGAGTCACAGGTGAAGTAACCTGCCCAAATGCCACAACTGCTAAATGACAGAGCCGAGATTTGAACCAGACCATTTATTCCAGAGCCTGCCCTCTGATGCATGATGCTGTACCACTTCACCAATTTAAATAACGGAATCTACGAGAGAGTATAAGTCTTTCCAGGGGTCCCTTCCACTATCCACAGCACCACTTTTCCAGTATCAGGCATGAGAGAAACAAGATTTGTGGTCTATAATAATCTTGGATTCTGAGCTCACTATTCTAGAAGAACAGTTGCTTCAAAACATAACTGGTGGCTGAATCCGACAGTGTGATCTCAGTCCTCGTTCTTTGTATATTCGTATTTTGATATCTGAATACCATTTATTACTCCCACCCTGTTGAAACTCGTCCTTTGGCTAACAAAACACTCCTCTTTCTTGATTCTCTTCCATCCTCAATGCTCATTCCTCCTATTCTCCTTCAGTGTTCTTCTGTCTCCTTGCCAAGTGTTGAGGTTTCTTTTACTTCCATATCCCAGATAGTGTCATCTATTTTCAAGGCTTTGATTTCCACTTTTGGGCTCCCAATTTTATGTTTCAAACTTTTCTTCTAAACTTCAAAATCATAGTTCCAGCTCTTCCCAGGGACTGTTGGACATCTCCACTTGCATCTCAAATTCAACAGGTCCCCACAGGAACTGACTCCCTCCTCTTTATCCATTGCCCAATTTTGCTTCCAAATCTGATCCTTCTTTCATAGTCCTCATTTCCTTTAACAGCGCACTGTCTAACCAATCACCCAAACCTGAGGCCTTGGACCCATCTTGGACTCTTCCTTATTTCTCACAATTTTCCCTTAGATGTATCCATAACACACACACTCATTGGATCACCAAATTCTTTCAATTTTACCTTCTAAAAGTCTCTATAATCTGTTTCCTCTTTGCTATTTCCCCCACCACGATGAAAGCCTTCATCATCTCTCATTTGGACTACTACCATGGCCCTTTATTTGCTTCTTATAGCTCAACTCCACCCTCTAAGCCCTTAAGTGAGTGGCCTTTCTAAAACGTGAATCTGACCACACCCACTCCTGCTTATAAACCATCTGCAACCCTTCTTTGCCTACAGGACACCAACCCAACTGGACAGCCTGGCATGTAAGGTTCTTCACAACCAGATTCTTGGCTATATTTCTAGTCTCATTCCTATCCCTTTCTCATGCCTTCTGCAGTCAGACCTCTCCATGTGAACTATGATCCAGATATCGAGCTATGTGCCATATTCTCTCACATCAACTGTAAGTTTCTGAAGGGGAGTCTTTATCTTCCTTACTGATCTCTGGGCATCCAAGTTCACTATACCTGTACCGTTGGCTTCAGACTTTTTAAAGAAATGTGGTTCCAGGCATTTTAAGGCACTTTACCATAATCTCTAATCCTTTCAACAACTCTACAAGGTTGCACAGTACTGTTGCTTCTGTCTAACAGGTGAAGAAGCACACTCCAAGCAGCTAAGGAGCCTGAAAGGTTACTCAGAAGGAAATAGTAAGTGAATGAGCCAAAATTTGAAGCCAGGTCGAGCTGTGCTTTAACTGAGACTAACCCTGAAATTCTCGCTGATTACATCTAGCACATTATTCCACCTGCGAGGAAACAACCAGGAAGCAACATCCTTGCTTTAGGCTCCCATAGGTGCAGTGCATGGGACACACATATGGGGGTCACTTTGGGAGGTGGCAAGTACCGTACTTTCAGTCCAACTTCCACTACATTCCAACATTCCATGACTGGAAAAGCATATGTGTTCACCTCTAACACCAAGCTTTTCACACTCTCACTGAACCCCAAAATGCACCCTTTGAGAAGGGAGCCTAATATGTTAAGTGGCCTGTCTCCAAGGAAGGAGAAAGTCTGGAAATGAGTCCAAACACTGCTTCTGACTAAATGGTCTAGACAGAATGCTCACAGCTTGTCCATCCTTGAGAACTGAGAGTCTATGCTTTGACCTCTTGAGTCTGATTTCGTTAAGTAATTGATAACATCCTACATATTTATTTCTGTTATCTAATGCTAACACACACACAAATACTCAACTACAGCTAAGGGGAAAATTGCCTCAATAATTATCCATTATATAAAACACATGTATCTTGTTCCCTTATTATTTTTATAATGTGGTCCCAAAAGCTCCAGCCTAAGCACCCCTGGATCAAGTGCCAGATGTGTCTCTGCCAACAGCTGCTTGTGTGGCTTTGTGCAAATCCATTTCCATTTTTTCACTGTGTAAGCCAAGGGGTTCTAGTAGTTGATCTGTGAGCATCCTCTTGAATTCTAATATTCGGAAACTACCCTTACTTTTATGATGTTTCTCACTAGGTTAAAGCTCCTTTATCCTATTTATCTAAGGGAACCTGACCTACATGATCATTTTCACAAATGGTTTTTAAATGGTAGTCAAGGATGATGGGTTGGAAGTTAATTCCAAGACTATTTTAGGGGAAAAAAAGGACTGTATCAATGCATTCAACACATGCTAAAATATTCATGTCATTCAAATACAATTCAGGCCAGCATCACCCAGACTGCATGGTAATAAATGGAATGTCTAAGATAATTCCATGTGCACGTGAATGTTGTCTCAAAATCATGCATGCACATGTGTGAAAATGGCTCTTGGACCTACTGAAATAATCATTGAAATGTCATCAGGTGCAGGAAGTGATATAAACATGAAACTCCAGGGTAATTATACAAGTAAATATCATTGGTAAAACTAAGTGACACAAATGTACAGTAAACAGTTGCTAGGTTCTCATAAAGTCTTGTTTACGTGACCTGAACTTCTCATGATATGACAGCCACTGGGTGCTCTAGATAAGAACAAATGACCTGTGACACAGGTACCCAATAAATGTCTGCTGAATGAACATTACGTGAAAATACCATAGAAAGTAACGTTATGCAAAAGCAAAGCATTGTTAAGGCTCATTTTCCATCCCAAAGATGGAAGGGGAATTCCAGAAGGATTATTAAAGAGGTTCCTTTTCAATCTTTGTGGTGTTCACAGCCATAGAAAACATTCCTACCTAACTCATATCAGTAAAAATACAGAATGGGAAAAGAATTTATATACCAAAATATGGCTGATATTACTGATCAAACAGGGGCTCCTTGATCCAAAAAAGCAATCAAGAAGAAACATTTTAAAAGTAAGGCAAACCCTAGTTTAGCACACCTATTGGCCTCACATTTTTAAATCAGACAGCTTTATATAATATTAGCCTTATCTAAAACCCATCTCTGGAGAAGCCCCAGATAGGGGAGGAAGAGAGAGCTCCAAAGAGGTTCTCGACACAGTGGGAATCCTCCGAGGTGCACTCAGCCATCATGGTCTGCAGAGAAAGGCCAGTTCACAGCCCAGGGCTGCGAATTTTCCTCCTGGAAGCCGACTCACCTTCCCTCCCGGAGGTGGCCCGGGCTGCGGGCAGGAGGAGCGAGAAGCAGAGGTAGCAGCTCAGCCAGAGCGCAGGCATGGCCGGGCCGGCGCGCGGTCCGCCGCTGCAGGGGTCGCTGCCCGGCGCCTCGCCGCTGGGAGTTCTCACTCTGCGCTCCGCTGTGCCTTCCTTTTCCTTGATCAGGTGGTTTTATCGACTCTTCTACCTGACTCAGTCCTGACAGGAAGAGAGCCTGTGTTTCAGGGTGTGACTCACCTGTGAATAAGGAGGACCCAGCCCTCGGGAGGCAGACAAACACACACAGCACACATCGAGCTGTAAAAGCGCTCACCCCAGCCGCCGGGCTCCCCCCTCGCCGCAAGAAGGGCGCACACCTGGCCCGGGCTAAGGGTGTGGTGCAGAGGCTGCGGCCCGGGGATCCTGCTGGAGGAATGCGCCAGAGCCCTCCTTCTCTTCCGGGGTAGTCTAGGACAGAATTCACAGAGGTAGCTAGCAGCCTGCCCCGTCCTCAACCCGGGAGGCCCAGTCTCAAGTGCACGAACTCAGAGAGAAGTCAGCAGCCCTGATCAGCTCTGGTCTAAAAGACATCAAGGAAAACAGACCAGTCTGAGAGTCACAACCGGGTCCTCTTTGCTCTCCGGCCTGGGCTCAACCTCTCTCTGAGATACAGCAACCCTACCCCAGCCGGCCCACTCTGCCCACACCTCATTCTTTCCCTCACCATCACCAGGCAGGACCAAAGGCTCCTCTCCTGGGTCCCGGTAACCTCCTGACCACCTGGGCTGGTGACTCATTTTGTCGCTTGTTGACTGGTCGGTGTCCCTCTGAAGGCTAGGCATCACTCTGTGTCCCTAACAACCAGTACAGTCTCTAGCCCACACTCCATGCTCAGTAAATGTTCTGTTGAATAAGAAAGAGGATCCAGAGTTCCCATTCCTTTTACATCTTAGAGCATATTTCCCATGCCATTCTCCGTGGGCCCATCAGAAAATATTTGTTGAGACCAACCATGAGTGTCACTCATGTCCACTGTACTAGGTGAAATGGGTGACGTCCCAAAACTGCAGATCGCAGTGTATCCTACATCGTCCCTTTCTCTAAGGAGGCCGGTGGGAATAATTCAGAGAGGTGGCTGTCAAAGAGAAAGCTTTGGTTCCTACTAGAGATTTAAAAGGTACCAGAGGTTTATATATACACTATATATGTATTATATGTGTATATAATATATAAAACAATAAATAAATATATATATATATATATATAAAACAACCACCCTAACTTTTCATCATCAAGGCCTGTGAAGGCCCCCAATAAATTGTTGTTGTTCACTAAGTGAATGAATGTTCTCTAGATAGTTCTATAGATGATAACATAAGGCAACAAGCAGTATAAAATAGAATATGATTGTCAATGGGTGTAAGAATTTCAGTTTATTCAAACACATAGATAAAGAGAACAGATTGGTGGTTGGGGGGGAGCAGTGAAAGGGGTAAAGGGGCACATGTGTATGGCGGTGGTTAAAAACTAGACTATTGGTGGTGAGCACAATGCAGTCTATACAGAAACTGACATATAATAATGTACATGTGAAATTTCACGTTATAAGCCAATATGACCTCAATAAAGTAATTTTTTTTTAAAAAGAATTTTTCAAGACCTGTGTGGGCTAACTGGGAGAGCGAGGCATGGCTTTGTTCAGTGCGTGGAGCATGGACTGGGTGTTCAAGAATAACCAGGATCTGCATATAGCACCAAAGACCCACGGGGGCGAGGCAGGTCATTGCAACCGGCTAACACCTGCTCTAAAACCCCCAGCAACAAAAAATGAGGAATAGAAAGGCAACTCCAGTTTTCTCATCCCAAGGTTGATTCTCTTCTACTCTGTCCAGGATTCAAACAAATAACAGAAAGATTCTTCTCTCTCAAGACTCATAGTGTCCAATTACTGCTAAAGTTTCAGTTCACAGAGACCAGATATTTAGAATCGTCCCTTCTAGTAGCTGGTACATTGTAGAGGCTGAAATTATGTCCCTGAGGCCCCTGATCCTTGCATTTCTACCCATCAGTATTGTGCAGTGACCCACAGTCCCGCAGGAACAAGGAAGAGGGACCTGCAAAATAAAGTCTTGAAGGTAGCGTTCATTTTGGTACAGATTACCATGGTTTATTATGTCTCAAAAGTTGGAACAGATGTTTTCATCTACCATCATTTTTGGATAGTGATAATAATAATAGCTAACACATATATAGTACCTACTATTTGTCATCACTGTTGTAAGTCCTTTTATACATAATAACCCTTTAATCTTAAAACAGTGCTATGAGGGGCCGGCCCGGTGGTGCAGCAGTTAGGTTCGCATGTTCCACTTCTGTGGCCTGGGATTCGTTGGTTTGCATCCCGGGTGCAGACATGGCACTGCTTGGCAAGCCGTGCTGTGGTGGGCGTCCCACATGTGGATTGGAGGAAGATGGGCACGGATGTTAGCTCAGGGCCAGTCTTCTTCAGCAAAAAGAGGAGGATTGGCAGCCGATGTTAGCTCAGGGCTAATCTTTCTCAAAAAAAAAAAACTCCAAACAACTGTGCTATGAAATAGGTGTACTGTTAATTTCCCCCTTTTACAGATGAGAAGACAGAGGCATAGAAAGGTCAAGTAACATGCTCAAAGTCACACTGCCAGTATGTGGCAAAGCCAAGATTCAAAACCAGGTAATCTAGTTCCAGAGTCCATAAGCTCTTTGTTAGGTCAGATTAAAAATCACCACAAAAAGGACAAATTCACAACACTGAATGAATTTGATATACAGTCAATGGTTATTTATCAACATCCATTACAATTCAACCAGATGATGGACTGCCGGTCCACATCGATAAAGCCAAGTCACAATGGATTGTGGATACTATTTCTGATTTCCCTAACATGCTAGCTCTGAAGGGACCCCCAGAGGTCACCTTGACCTGGGGTGGAATATGGGCAGCAGGGCCCTGGGCACCAGGCCAACCAGTCCCAGCTTTTATGTGGACGGTACGCTCCAGTTTCCCTCAGCCCCTCCCTCTTCCCGTTGCCTTACTCTGGGCCTCCTCGCACAGCTAAACAACCTGCCCGGCTCAGGCGCGAGACCTCTGCCCTGGCTTAATCTCCCACCTTGCTCAGGGACAATACCAACCCCCTTTGCCAATTTGAGAAGTCTCTGTGTGCTGCTGGGGTTAAGAGCGCTCTGGTGCTCAAGGCCCTGGAGCAGTTGCCCAGTTGCCCAGTTCCTGGGAAGCAGTTTCCCAGATCCTGGCTTCACTGCTCATCAAGGTAGCTTGCTTAGTTTTCTCTGAGCTTCAGTTTCTTCATCTGTAAAAGAGGGATAATAAAAAGACACTCACCCGGCAGGGTTGTTGGGAAAATTAAATGAGTTAATGACCTATCCAGTGCTCAGAGCAGCGCTAGGCATATAACATGCACTATACGAGTAAGCTATGATAATTATTACTGTTACTGTTGTTGTTACTAATATTATCACTAAGCTCCATCAGTTTTTTCCTTGTTATAATAGCTGACAAATACCCATATGAGAAACATGGGGGGTTTTACTTCAACCCTTCTACTAATTGACTGTTCAATCATAACTTTAAACTTCTGTGAAACTCTCAGTCTAATCCGTGTTCACGTCCAGTTTACCAACATTTACTTGGAAGTTGTTAATTAGTTTGTATTTCTGCTCCATATCTGGAAATTTCTGTCACGTTCAGGTTTGCCTACAAGTTTCAAAATTTGTGCACTTAGAACTTCATTTTAAATAAAGTGGAGTAGGATCTGACATTTCAGGGAAAATATAAAGGTAAGAAGGATTTGAGTATACTCTTATGATTAACTTTAATTAACATGTTTTTCAAAAGGGCAACAAATACCGATTTGCTTTTCCTTATGACCCAAATAAATATTTTTTCAAATCCAGACAAAAATCAAGTTGATGTACACATAAAAATGGTTAAGATGATAAAGTTTATGTTACATATATTTTAACACAATAAAAAAAAATCAACTTGATACTACTCAGCAACGGAAATGAATGGACTACTGATAGAGAACATGGATGAATTTCAAAGCATTGTCTTAAGTCAAAGAAGCCAGACACAAAAGACTAGATTCTAGGAGCAGACCCCATGGCCGAGTGGTTAAGTTCACGCGTTCTGCTTCAGCGGCCCAGGGTTTCGCCAGTTCGGATCCTGGGTGCAGACATGGCATGGCTCATCAAGCCATGCTGAGGTGGCGTCCCACATGCCACAACAAGAAGGACCCACAACTAAAAATATACAACTATGTACCAGGGGGCTTTGGGAGAAAAAGGAAAAATAAAATCTTAAAAAAAAAAAGACTAGATTCTTTATGATTCTATTTATATGAATTTCTAGAAAAGATAAAACTACAAGGAAAGAAAACAGATCAGTGGTTGCCAAGGGCAGGGGACTGACTGCAATGCAGCATGAGGATAAATTTTGGGGATGAAAGAAATATTCTGAAATATGATAGTGGCCAAAAGTAATGAAATCATATACATAAAATAAATAAATTCGATTATATATAAATTATACCTCAATAAAACTAGTATAAACGTAAGAGAAAATCTCAAAAAATCATATGACAATTAAGATGATACTTCAATTCAAATATACAAATTCAAACCCAGGACTAGAAACATCACTATGTCTGCATAAGTTGTGACAAAGTCTCAGGATGGAGGCCGGCCAAGGTGTCCAGCTGGTTCTGATAAGCTCTAAGGAGCTTCGGGCAGCAGCCCATCTCAGGCCTTCAGGCAGAAATACCACCCCCTTTTCTGGAAACCTCTCTATTTTGGCAATTTACAAAAGGTAAGAGAGGCCTTTCTGAAATGTTTGCTTACAGGCACGAATTTTAAACCCACCTGGACTTTTCTTCTAGAAAGTCGGCACTTGGGTTTTTCTCTTGTCTTCGCCCAAAGTTGTCACATTCACCTAGAGTGTAACCTCTGGTACCAAGGAAGATAACGTTCTGTGCAGAAGTTCTCCACGCCTGACACTGAAATGTGCCGGGGCATTTCTACAGGAGCGCGCGGGGCGCAGGAGGGCTGAGACCCTGGAAGTGCGCTTTATCCATAGTTTCCTTGTCCAGTCATCAGCCAGGGGACTTTTCTTTTTATAATGCTGTGTAAGTCACTTCACAGAATTGTCATCTCTCCACCTCAACCTCCCAAATAGAATTGCAAGTGACATGTTGATTTTTGCCTTGAGTTCCATTATTACCTTAGT